GTTTGAAATATAGAAACTATTTCCGATTAATTTTAATAATTTTTAAGTGGTCCTTCATTTATTGGGGGGCACTGTAGTATCCAAATAAAAATTTGTATTATTTAAAAGTAAAATTATTTTTTTTAATTCAATACCAATAATCAAATTTTTTAATCCATTTATAAAAAAAATTAATTTTCATTTGGACTTTTGAATTTGTTTAATAAGTTATTGAAAAAATCGATAAATTAATATTTTTAAAACAATATAACTTTTTAATGTTTTTTAATAATAAAAAGTTAAAATATATAAATATCAGTAATATTGTAAATCAAAAAAACTGTTAATTATATTTTGTTTCACTAATATAATTTAATATTAATATATAAAAAAATAAAAATAAAAATAAAATAAAAATAAAATAAAAAAATCTTTTTGCAATTTGTAATTTTTTTAATAATTAAAATTTGATTACATTCTATATAATATAATAATATTATTTTATAAATATACTGTATATTATAAATATAATCTAGATTATATTATATCAAGATTTTTTGTAACTTTAATTATTCTTTTATTAAAATTGTTAATAAAGTATTGTTTGTTTTTTTATATAAATTAATGTTATAAATATTATTTCTTTTTTTAAATTTATAAACTTAACTATTTAAATATTATATATTATCTTCAATATTAAAACTTTTAGTAAACTTAATTTATTTTTTTGAAAAATTTAATTTGTAAAGATATTTTTATTGCAATTGCTTAATTTATTTATAATTTTATAACTTTATTCAATTTAGAATATTTAATAAGATAATATCAAAATATGATAAAAGTTTGTTATATCGAAGATATAGTAAGTTATTTTTTTTATTTATTAAAATTTTACTTATTATAAAATAATTGATAAAAAAATTAAATTTTTGATTAAAATAGTTTATAAGATTATTGTATTTTATATTAAGATATTTATTAATATATTAACAAATTTCATATTTATTTTCAAGATCTAATTAAACTTTTTTTTTTTTTTAATTTTAATTATTATTAACTATTTTTTTATATATTACATTTCTATATAATTACTAATTTTAATTGATTCTAAACATATGATTATATAAGAGATTAATTGTATTATAATAGACAATATTCTTTTATATTTAATTTTATTAATTAAATTAAAACAATATTTTACATTTGGTTTAATTATTTAATCATATTTAAAAATTATGATATAACAATATACTTAGTATTTTATTACATATTTATTAAAATTAAATAAAAATTTGAATAAATTTTTTACTTTAATTATATTAATTTGTATTTTTCAGAATAAAATTCTTATCAATTTATTTGTTATAATTATTACTACATTGATGATTTAATTTCAATACAAGATAATCTTTTTTTAAAAAAATTTTAAATAAATATCTATAAATATTTAATATTATTTAATAATATACTGTATATTGATTAAACCAATGGTTTTAAATATTAATTATATGATTATTATAGATAAGTTAATATTTAACTTATAGTATTAACATATAAGAATATTGCTTCTTTTACAATATATACTTTATGACACATCAATCAAATAAAAAAACAATGTTTACTTATAAGTAAAAACAATAATAAAGTTATTATGATTTCTGATGTATAATTTATTTCTTTTAATTATAATGCATTATCTTTGGTATTTATTTATAGTAATGGGATTTATAAAATTAGAAATTTTTGTATATTTTGATTTTTAATCTTATCAAATTTTTTAACAATAAAAATAAAGTTTATACTACAGTATATCTAAGAAAATCCAGTTGGATAAACTACAGTATAATGTATACAGTATAATGTATACAGTATTTAAATCAAGAAGTTTCAATCGTCCAATTGACGTACCAGATATTACCATTTATTAATTTATCGTGTGTTTATTGTTCTCTTAAAATAGAAAACTTTAAATATTTACGATAATATCACACACTCATGTTTATATGCGTGGATATACTGTATATATATTTATATTTTAAATTTCCTCCTCTACGTAAAATACTGCATTTTAAGTAGTTTTTTATTTTTTTCATATAATTTTCATTCCGGATACGTGTTCTTTGTTGTTTCTTTGCTTCACGTGTCATAAATTGTGTTTATTAGTATTGCGGAAGAAAAAATCTTAGATGAAACAGGCAAATGATGTTAAGGCTGTTTCTATGCTCGTTTGATGACATATTTTTTGATGGATGGATGAATGGATGAATATTGGTACATGAATATACAGAAGTATGCAGAGGGATGAAAATAAATTACTTGATTTAAATACTATTTCGAAAATCTTATTGCTAAACTTCTTATGATTGTACTTTGCATTCAATGCAAATGATAAGGCGTTGGTATATTTACGAAATGCAGTAATATGCCAATCACCCTTTTTATGTTTTTTTGACTTGTTTAAATAAATAAAAATTATGTGGTGGTAGTATTGGTGGTGATATTCCCCGCCGTCGATGTAGGCGTTAAGGGACTGCCAACATCCTGTGATATATAGTTTAATTCGTTCGTTCGTACATGCATCGGTGCCACGGCTTTTGGTATTGGCCATTTTAGTAACGGCGCATCGGAATCCGTGGAAGCATTTCTGGAGTGAAATGATGATCTCCCATCAGTTGGTGTGGACGAGGATGTGATGGACAATATCTCCTCGTCATATGGGTGTGAGTGTTGTGGTGAGGTCGGTGTGGTTGGAAACATTAGATTTGTCAGTGTTGGTTCCGACTTATCAGGAATTCGGATTTCTCTGTTATTGGGATGTTATTAATATCAGAAAAAGCGAGGACTCTAAAGCATTTAGGCGAATACGTACCCATAAGTGATCCCGGCCATCACGCAAACACTAAGAATCATCGGTATCCAATTAACCAACGCGGCAAATGCCTTGCTAAGGGTTAAGTTCTCGAAAATTGATTGATAAAAGAACGCGAAAATTCCAATAAAAGCACCTAATATCACGAAGCTTGCTATAAATGCGTAATTTAAGATACGCATCTGAATGATGATTGGATTGAAAGAACAAAAAGAGAAATGAATAGTTACAGCTTATATACCGGTGAAACAACAGCTCGAGAGATGGCAACAAACAAACAAATACCTTGATAATGCTTCGCTCCAGTAGATGATGTCTTTGTTCAAGACCATTGTTAAGGGTACTGACACCAACATTCGAATATGAGAATCTATTCGATCTTGGAGTTGTCGGATAACCAATGGCATCTTCAAACATGCTTAATCCTTCTCCGGCAATCCTGATCAATTTATTTCCATAAATCAGGAATCCAATGGCAATCAAGAAACAAGAAATGGAGTGGGCCAAATATTGAATAATCATCAGTGTTGTAATGGTTTTAGAGTTTATTGATAAGTAAGTAACTGATGTTGTGGTGTCTCGAAGATAACCTATGAAAGAAGAACACGTTATCACGATGGTCCCTAGTGTTGTTATAAAAACAACGTATACGATCGCCATTCCCCGAAAGTTTGGTAAGAGGATCGAACGTTTATACTGTAAATTTTGTCGATAGAAGTGCATACGAGGTATTGTTCTTAAAACACCGGCGAGATATGTTGCCACCGAGACTGTTCCCAATAACCACGTGACATCAAATAATATTTCTCGCAAAATAATATTTGTTGGTGAAACATTATATAATAATATGAGGCAGCTGGTCATCCGAGCTAATGAAGAAGATTTGTGGGGGAAGAGAAGAAAGAGATTGAGATTGAGGATCTGAAGGACGAAGTGGTGTCATTAAAAAAAAAAATCACTCACCACCACCCCAAAATATTTGGGTAAACAAGAAACCCTCCAGTGTCAGAAAACCTTTCATGCTAAATAAAGTTGAACCCGGTCTGCTGTAGAGTCTCCATGAGAATAGCCAAACGGCACATAAAAATACAAATAGAGATAGATAGGTGGTCACTCCGTAGACCACTTGAAAAAAATCTTGACCAATGCAACTGGTAACATTTAGAGTCCATCTGGGTGCGCATCAAGAAAAGATGTGAGAAATCATCGGCAATATAAATATGGTAATCGGACAGGTCAGGATGTTTACTTACTCGCAATTTTGGAGATCTAACGTTGAATCATCCATTCTATTACTTATATACAAATCCTGATATTTTTTATGCCTAAATTTTATTTACAAGGAAAAAATATCCGAAGAAGCCACCGTAATTTTTCCAAAAGGCAAACCAAATTAATATACTGTATATATATAGCCTTTTCCTTCACGCACTTTAAACGGGGGGAGTGAAATAACTATACACAAAACAATAGGTCTAGCCAATACTATTGATCTCAATTACTTATAGTGTGTGATGTGTGAAAAAGAGGATTTTTGTTCCTATTGTATTCTGTTTACCACCATATGGAATTAGATGAATAGATGGTTGCAAAAGATTATGAAAAATTTCCATTCACCCGAAAAAAAGCCTCATCCTATTTGTGCCTCTCTGTAGGAATGAGGACGCCAAAAAAAAAAAAAAATTGAAAATCCACGAAAAACTTGAAAGTAGATACTTTTATACCCGGCTCAAGCATGTTAGAATATTGGATAGTAGGTTTTTGTGCGATTACTAGAATGACACAAGCTCAGAGATTCAAAATGTGACGTATTGTTTTTTGTTTTAATTCAATTCATTGATACACACCATATACGTTATACGTAGTGTGCGTAATGTGGAACCGAGGATAATTTTAGGCGTAGCGTTAGGAATTTTCCAAAAGTGCATTACAAGGGTATTTTTGCAAATGATCTTTCTGTATTCGCGTGATTTATAACACTGCTGAAAGCGTGACTTGGAACTATTCAAAGATTGTCGTAGTGCAAGTAGCACAATGTCATACCATGGTTTTATTTCCTCCATTGTGTCTCCACGAAGGTAAGCTTTAAAAGGAAATGCATCCCTGTTCTATTCAATTGGGCAGTAGAACCACTGCATTTCGGGTATGAATACACCTTCACTCTTACTTTCTGTCGGAAAGGCAGTGGTTTTGGGCTTATTCACCGTGCAGTCTTAATCCATCTTTAAGTTTCTCGCGTTTTTTCTGATTGTGAGAATGATGCTACGAAATTCATACTACCAATCTCGTATTCTTTCATCAATAGTAAACTTTGGCGAATTTCCTTTTCAATCCGTGTGGAAGGATTTTCGTTCAAGAAAAAGTGATATAATGACAAGGGAATGCTAAACCTGATAAAATGACATTATGTAAATTAAACGTGAACGACAAATATTGTTCGTTCGTCAATGCTGCGAACTCGACTATACCACTTTCAAGTAATAAGATATAGGGCAAGAGCATATTTAGATTTCTTGCATGACGTAATTGCATTGCATACGCTTTGTTATGTGCACTGAGAGTTTCATCAATAATAGTTATGTAGGTGTTGTACGTAATTAAGGCTTTTCCATTTTTGTTGCTAATAGGATTTTCGTGGTACATTTGCACAATACTATTTTGCATACGTTTTTTCATTATCTTTAATTATTGTTTAACGTTAACAGTTAATAATCCTTAATCTTTTCGTGACATTGGAGTATAAATATTTGTAGTTTATTCTCGACCCTCCAACCCTAAAAAAATCTTAAACCAACATCATGAAAATCTTTTTGACTGGAGGTTCCGGCTTTCTAGGGAGCCCGTTCATGAGATACGCACTAACCCACGAAGATGATTTGTTGATAGTGGCATTATCTAGATCCAGTGTCGCCGATGAAAAAATCCGTCATGCTTATGAAGGTATTAAGGGTGGTGAAGATCGTGTTAGAATTGTTCGCGGGAGTATTAATGACGAAGGTGCACTTAGAGAAGGATTGGACGGGGCTGATATTGTTGTTCACATGGCAGCAAAGGTGAGTCAATAAATTAGATAAATTGCTTTTCTCCTTTTCCCAAAGTCTTCTTTAACTTATTTATTTTACTTATCAATCAATCGTTTCAAAGGTTCAGCCATGGGGCTTTTACGAAGAATTTGAAAGGATCACCATCGGTGGAACACGTCTCTTGCTTTCAATAATCGAATCCCTGCCGAAAAAGCCACGATTAATTTACACTTCTTCATTTACCGCGCTCATTGGTCGGCATTTTCCCGAAGGTGCCATTCTTCCAAATTGGGCTCCTTATTCAAAATCAAAACATTTTTCCGAAGAGTACGTCTTAAAATCCTCGATCCCAGAGACGATTTGTCTTAGGTTGGGTTGGCTATGGGGTAAACATGACAATGTGCTATTGCCCAAATTGTATGATCTCTGTACAAATCCTATTTGGAAGTTGGTTCCAAAATGTTGTCACCTTTCAATTTTGCACATTGATAATGCCTGTGAGTCAATCTTCCTTGCTTGCAAACTTCCAAAAGATCTGTTCACTACCGGTGAAAAGAAAATCTATGAAATAGAAGATGTCGAAGGGAAAATCTCGGTCGAAGATTTTGTTGATATTTACGTTGGAACCGCTTACAATATGAAACCTCCAAGACCCTTCGAAAAATTTCGACTTCCTGAATGGTTTGTTTGGGGTGCGGTCGCCTTTATCGAGTCGATACCATTACTCGGTTATGGTAAAAAGTGGGTGATAGGCGTAATAAGCAGAGAACCCTTGTTCTGTATATTTAGAGATTACCGATTAAAACCTAAGAATGTTAAGGAAGAACTCGGATACGTTGGTAAGGTATCCAGGGAAGAGGGATTGGCGGAATTAGCTGCCTGCCGAGAGATCGTTCCTCGGTAAAAAAAAAAATTGTCACCAACAAATTTGAATTGTGTAAATTCCTAGTTTATTAATAATCTTTTATGTGTAATTATTGTATTCAATCTAGTACATTGTTTTCGATTATCTTCTGGAGTAATAAAGCACGCGTTATCTTTTTTTTTTTTGTTCATAGCAAAATTGATAGGCGAACGATGTTATACACAGCATTCTTTCTTCTATAATTAGTTTGATAGGAATATAATCGATGGTTGAGATATATGATTGTATGTGTGAAGATGAGAGGAATTTTAGTTTCACGTTGCCAAATTTATAAATTTCCGTTTTTTTGACGATCCGTTTTCTAATTCACCGTCTTCTGGTGACTCTTCAAGAAACTCGGCCGAATTATTTGATTCCCAGTCATGTTTGATATAACTGAGTGCTGCTAGATTGTAACCTTGCATTTCCTGTTTGGGAACGAAATTCGTAGCCACAATTATTCGACCGCAAAAGATACATGAAAACAACAATATTGTTCTCTAACCTTTTGAAGTTTTAGCGAGGCACGAATATGGGTTCGGAGAGAATCCAATCTTGGTCTCAACAATCGGTTGGCCACGAATTGATCGTGATGAACTTTGAGAAGGTGAATTAATATTCGGCAGGTCAATGCTATATTCCATCCCTAATAATTCAAAGAGAAAGTTTTTGTAAATCACCTTGACCTTCATGAAGACCAAAATAAATAAATAAAATAAAACAACCTTCTTAGCCCACGAGTCCAAATATACCAGTAAAGAAATAACTTTGATGAATGGTAAGACCAACAGGGCCTCATCCAACTCCGAAGACCTGACTTTCTCTACGGTTCTAAGTACATACTGTTCTCCTGTCAAATTTCCAAGTGCAACAAGAACGGGATTCGGTTTTGGTGGCGGTCCAGGATCTTGACCTCTCTGTTTGATCTTAAAAAAAAAAAAAATCAATAAAGTGTTTTTAATCTCCAAAGATAATGTACGATCGAGTTACAAACTTGATAATAGGTTTCCCAGTTTGCTGCATCTTCGTCCGCGACGTCTAGTGCCTCGATTATACGTTCACCAGCTTTGAGCGTTTCCATAGTTTGCTTTCCCGCGATATTATCCTCGAGGCTGGTTTTTTCCATGGTGGCTGTCAACGTGGACTCGTAAAGTTCTTCCATTTCCTTCTCTCGTTCTTCTTCGAGAAACAACTACAAGTGTAAAGTCAACAGTGAATAATGAGAGTGATGTTGTGATGTTCACAATGTCATGAGCCTGAAGGTATGATTACCGGTTCTTCTGTCTGCTCCCACACTCTTATGGATCGATCATGAGATCCAGAGACAAGTAAGTCTCCACGCTTACTGATTGCCAAGGCCCATACTTCCCCGTGATGCCCTTCGAGTTTCATGATGTTTTCGAACTTTATAAAAATCATGGTAAATCAGTTTCCCGATAGTCGAAGAAACAATAATCGTGTGATTTCCGAAAAAATTTTCCTTTTTCACCTTATCTCCATCCCAATATTTAATCAACTGGTCCTTACTCGATGAGAAAACATAATGCGTGTTCATCACGAATTGAACGCACATTATGCTATCTTGATGAGCAAAAATCGATTTGTGGCAGTCGCCAAAATCAAGACCCCATATTTTAATATTTTTGTCTGCCGAACCTGTCGCTAACAACTTATTATCTGAAGAAATATCCATCGATAACACAGGCAGCTATGATAAAAAATAACCAAATTGAATAGTTGAACTTGTATAGATGATAGCCGACGGCGACCGAAAATTACCTTGTGACCATATAATGACAGAAAGAACTTCAGTGTGTCATTGTAAAATACCTTGACGGTTGCGTCCAACAACGCAACCGCTATCAATTTCTGATTTGGACTATAGCGGACACATAAGACGTCGTCAGATAATTTCAGGGTGCGCGTGTGAATTAAGTTCAACCGACGGCTTCTCGTCTATGTCGAAATAACAGCATTAAAAATTTTTCCTAAGAAAATTAAAGATACTGAGATGTTTCCTTTTTGCCACTGCGTTGCAAACCTCATTTTCCTCCGAAACGTTCTCTATCGAAAAGTCAAAATCCCAAAATTTGACATTCGAATCAGCGCTACCAGTAACCATTCCGCGCTTGTCAGGGCGAACTTGCAAAGACCATATGGGACCACTGTGTGCCTCTATGGATTCAATTAGAGATGAGGACGCGAGATCAAATAACTCCAGGTGTCCAGATTTTGTACCGACAATGACCTGCGTGATCATCGCAAAGGTAAGTGCACCATCAAAATTCCCCCTCTCGAAATCAAATAACTCACGTAACGATCTCCTGGTAAAAACGAGCAACACAAGGCATATCCGCACTCCATCGTTTTGATACACGAAGATGATTTAACATTCCAAAGTTTAAGATCACCTAAGATATTAAGAACAAAGGAGAGGTTACATTCCTGTCCCTCCGTTCAAACAATCAACAACTTGAGAATAGACGTTTTACTTTTCGAACAAGAACACAACAGTTCATCGTCAGAACTCAATGCCAGCGCCCTAATATCGTTACGATGACCAGGTATGTCCAGAGAATAAAGCTTTTCCGGTTCATTCAATCTTTTCTCCTTATTTTTTGAGGGCAGATCTAACATGTGTAGTTCGAGCGCATTGCTTGTCAAAGATATAAGGACCTATCAGATTTGCACGAATTAGTTAGTGAATCTGAACGGATCACATCGCCTGATACTAACATGTGCAGAGTCGGCTCTTGGAATATTTCCATTTTCCGCGAAATCAAAAGAACGTATCTTTCCTCCTGAACGAACGATTCTATATGGACTTATCAAATCGCTCGCGCTAATTTTCTCGTCATCGTTTTCAACGTCTTCGTCCATATCAACGACCCCAGACTTTTGTTTTTTTTCTTTCTGTCGTTTCTTACGACGTGCGATTTTCTTTCTTATTTCTTCTGGGGTGTATATTCGAAAGATCTCGACGTATTTTTCTGGGCCCTGTACTCCCAACAGACTAGCATCGGGATGGAATTTTAATGTGATGACTCGATCTTTGCCTTGTCTTTTCACATTTCCATAAAATTTGATGGCTCTTTCAATCTATTAATAAAAAGGAAGGAAAGAATTGTCTTATCGAAATCTTAAACGCGTAATCCCGATGTGCATGACTGAACCAACCTCTTCGTCTTTATCCCTTTCCATTTCAAAACCTCTTGCGAGTACATTATGATCAATTGTCCAAACTTTCATTTCACTATCGTCACCTCCGGTTACCAACATCTTCCAATCCCTTGATATATCAAAATCCCACACCTCACTACGATGTGCCACCACAGTTTCCATGCAATGTTGAGTGCTAAGATCCCACAACTTTAAAAGAGTGTCTTTCGAAGATGAAATAAGATAGCCGGGTGATAAAGTGTCGTCTGCCTTGATTGCACCACCCGACAAGGATCTAGGAAGGAATCGCAAGGATGTGACCTGATCCTTGTGACCGCGCATCCTGCAGGGGTAGATTGTAGCCTTGCGGTTAATCGTGATATTGGCGTTAACTTTTAATTATTTTGTTTGCCCACCTAAAAAGTCCTACTTCACCAACTATATCCCAGAGAATTATATCAGTGTCCTTTGATCCGGACGCCAATCTCGTCCCACTCTTGTCGAATGTCAAGGCGGTCACCGCGCCTCGGTGACCATTAAAGACGAGTGAATTGGTTGATTTTTCCACATTCCATATCCGAATTGATCCATCAGCATACCTACAGGCAGTCCACTGATGTTAGTAATTCGACGTCTTATGTGTGAACTCCATTAAATGAAATATTTTATGACTCTACCCAACAGCATAATCGCAATTGTTTGGACTTTTTGTTATCGCCGTCACTTCTGATTTGTTATCAATGTCACTCCATCTCCTCTTCTATATAAATTGTATCAAGATGAGATGAGGTATTCCGTGCGAGATAAGGGAATTCGTATGTGAAGTTTCTTTTTCACTCTCGAGAATACAAGCCTGTGTGCCTTTCTTTAAATCCCATATAATAACGTCTTCTAAAGCGGGAACAACTGCAGACGTACCTTCTCCGAAGAAGACTACGTTTGAAGTGGCACTGGAAATGATGCCAAAGGTTTTCCACGGTTCGAATCTTAAATATGACTTGACCATGTTGGAACAACCGAATGCTTTTTTTTTACGATTATCACGAAAACCCAGTGTCACGTGATATTGATATTTCCGATAAATTGTATACTGTAATTATCTCTATTAAAAAATTTATAATTAAAACTTTTATTTCATTACAAAGAATTAGGTTCATGAAAATAATAATTTTTTTTAATTTCAAAGATATACAGTCAAACCTCTCTATAACGATATTTTTTATTATAATATATAGTTATAACAATACAAATGATCTGGCCCAGGTATATCAATATAAAAAATGCAAAAATATTTTTATATTTTTAATAATAAAAACCATTGTCAATCTACACACCCCTAACATAAATTACCGGAAATTATCATGTGATAAATAATAACGAAAAAAATATCGATTTTTAAAATTCAAATAAAGAATTTTATTTTATTTAATAACAAAAGTATATTCTATAGTATCAAAAAAAAATGTATTCTATTTTAATAAAAAAAAACTTAAAGATAGAAAACTAATATTTAATATGTTCGCCTTTAACCTTAATAATATTTTTAATATGCTTTGGAATACTTAAAATTAAATGATGTAAAGTTTCTATAGGAATATTTGCCCACTCTTCTCGTGCAACTCTAATTAAATCTTGCTTTGATTTAGGTAAAGGTTTTCTTTTTCAAATTTGGCGGTCAAGATGATCCCACAAATGTTCAATTGGGTTCAAGTCTGGACTTTGTGAAATCCAATCTAAAACAGGAATACTATGTGTTGTCATCCACCAATTCGTATAAGAAGATGTATGACATGGTACCAAATCTTGTTGTAATATCATATTTGGACTATTATAAATATATGGTATTAAATAATTTGTAAGAACATTAACATATACATCGGAATTCATATTTTCATCTACTTCTACTAATGGTTCAACTCCAAAACATAACAGATTTTTTACCAGATTTAAATGTAGGCTTAATACAATCTTTGTTATAAGCCTCTTTTACTCTTCTCCATACCTTTACTTGGCTATCAGATTTGAATAAAGTGAATCTTGATTCGTCAGATCAAATAACTTTTTTCCATTTCTCATTCCAATTACGTTTAATTTGACACCATTTTAACCAAGAAATACGTTGTTTATTGCTTAAAAAAGGTTTCTTACGTGTAGCACAACCTCTAAAACCAAGTTTATGAAGATATATACAAATAGTTTTAGGATGAAGTGTCATATTAAGGCTTTGATTAAATTTTCTTGTAATTTTTTCAAGTGATAAAAATCTGTTTTTTAAAACAATCCTTTGTAAAAAATGTTGCTCCCGTTTAGAGAGAATTTTAGACCGACCAGTTCTTTTTTTAGGATGGGGAGAACTATTTTTCTTATATCGATTAATAGTATCATATACAGTTGCATGAGAAATATTCAACATAGCTGATATTTTTAATCCATTCGAACCCGTAAGATAAGCGCTGATTATTTGGTCTCTTTTTTCAGTTGTTAATTCATTGCCTCGCATTTTTTTGACCAAAAAAAATCTATAAAAAAATTGATTTTTATAAGCAAAATTGTTAATTGTACTTGTGTCAAAAAAAGAAATAAATGATATTTACTTTTTCGATTAGTCGTATATTTATTGTTGATTTCCGGTAATTTATGTTAGGAGTGTGTATATATTGAATTATTATTTTAATATAAACTTATAATTTTAAAAAATAAAATTTTTATTTTTTATAAAAGAAAAAAAAAAGAAATTTTTGAATCAATAAACAAAAAATCTTTTTAAATCAATTTCTAATCTATTAAAATAAATATATTATTATTATAATTATTATTAAGTTATAAATAGGTATTAGATATGAAATCTTTATTAAACAAATTATTTATTAGTTAATATATCAATATTTTATTTTATCTAACATAGGATTAATATTATATTAATAATATTTTTTTTTTTAAAGTGGAATATGTGCAAGGCATATAATCTTTATTGATATATTTATATATTCAAACAAACATCAAGTATCTCTATAAATTAATCAGAAATCAGTTAATACATGAATATCCATTATATCTTTATAGCTAATCTGTAAATTAATACTGTCTAGTACCTTTATTGCTATAAAACTAGTTATATCAATCACTTATAATCCAATTATATATTTATTTTAACACCTAAAGATGTACCCATATGTTAGATAGGACTTTTTATAGAAAAGAAATTCTATCACTAGTTTAAAACCTACTTAACCTACTAAGTTCATATTGCAAAAAGCAATTTAGTATAGGATATTATTATAAAGATTAATCTCAATTATTCCAATCACCTATTATCACCAATTCTTAGGATATATTACTAGTATAATGTAACATAACTATATTCATCATCTGTAGAACTGATATCTTTACTTAGATTCTGATTTAATTTTAATAATTCTCATCAGATATACTTGGTCTTAACGATTTTTGCCTGAATTGTTATCTCTTGTGGCCAATAATCTTTTGCATTTTTGGTTTATTTAAGTTCAAGAGAACATTACTTATAAGATAAATTCTCAAAAATATATTAGCTTAAAATTAATCTCTTTGGATTATGTGATAAAGTCTGTCATTACCAGTTTGAATCGAGATTTTATAAGCTTTTACCAAAGTTAAATCAGAAAGTTTTTCTTGTACAACCTTTTATACTTTGATTTATTTTTAATTTGTAATTGTCGAAAAGATCAAAGGTTCCATTTTCATGCAGCTTAATTGAATTTGGATACAATTAAGGATTATTGAATATAATATATGCAGAATATCCAATAAACCTATATATGAAAATAAATACATTTTCTGTTTTCTGTGAATATTGAACTAGAAACATGTATTTGATGACTTGAATGCACTATCTACTGCATTATTAACCCACAGGTCTGATTAATATTAGATTATTAAATTATTATTAACTAATATTAGATATTTAATATCTGTAAGTCTATAGTACAATAGTTAGTACTTCACAGTTCAGATTATAAGATACTGGTTTAGATTCTCTAGGAAGCTAATATGAAACTTCTAAAAAAACCAAAGTAGAAAGGATCAGCATCTTCTGATTGCCATTACAAGATATCAAGTTCAATTCCAGGTGAAGGCAATCGAACCATCTTAATATAATATTTGGCACTATAACCTAATATGTACTGTTTTTTATAAGAAGCTAATTTATATGTTGATTCAACAAGTGTTAAGATTGTGATACCAAGAAAAGGTGTAGCAATATAATAATCATTTGGCAGTATTATAATAATCATTATTAAGTTTGGTGCTTTTTTCAATTCTCATGTATAGAGCATACTTCTTTACTTCTTAAGTCATTAAATTATAAAAGAAAATCTCAATTTTTTTTGAAAACCTAGCTAGAGCTATAAAGACTTTTTATTAGATATAGTTAGTCTGTGACTAATCATATTAGAATATAGTTCTTTAAGTTTCTATTCATCAAATGACAAATGGAACTAGAAGATACATATCCTGGCACATTAGCTTATTATCTATACTATTAGAACTCTGATGTTAATAATATAGGAGAATGGAGAGCAATAAGCTGACTAGTGGGTAAAGTTATAAAAACTTTTTCTAAATGGTTTTATTAGATAGATAGGTAGTAGTCAATTCCCATAAAGGGAAAAACACATGTACTGTTAATTCATATCTAATAAACATGATATATGCCAGTTATTGAAAAAAAAATATTATATATCTAATATATAACTTCAATATACTAGTTATATAAATTTTAAATATATTTGAGAATAATTTGTATATTAAATGAAACTTATATAGAAGATAAAAATTTAACCACTAGTTTAAATTATTAATTCTACTAGATTTAGTTTTAATTATATTTGTTATAAGAGAAATGTTATTATAAAATATTATTATAATAATAGATTCCAATTATTTTAGTTATTAGATTATTTCAACTTAAGATTTTTTTAAACTATTATTATTATAATAAATAAAATAGAACAATTAATAAAAAACAAATACTAGGCAATCTACTGCAAGTTCTTTTCGACTTTCTTCACTGGTGCCCTTCCAACAGTGAAATCGAAATAACAAATAACAAAAGGATACTTCAAGAGATCTCTAACTATCCTAAAAAAATGACGAAAGTCAACTTCTCCTCAATCATCCAAAAAATCAACAAGATGATACTCAAGAAAACAATACTTCTTACCTATTCTAGCCCCAAGTCAAACCCAAGGGC